GCTTTCAAATGACATTCAATTACACAATTTATTCCACCTTGCTTTTAAAGAATCCTTTTTGATTCTTAGTCCTACGCCGACTAAAGAAAATAAGTTGTATATAACTTGTTCATAAAGCAACTGATTCGGCGGATAATGCGCGGAGGATAAATTTGGAGACATGTTTGCTTCCATAGTATACACGTTTAAATCTTCGTCGAGGGCAAAATCGATTCTAATTAATTCGAAGAAGTTCCTTCCGTTCCCAAATCGTTGAGCAGCCTCTTTGATGTATTTCTCCTTTGAAAGAACGATTTCATTGATCGCTTCGTTTACACCGTTCCAAACTTTTTCAGGATTCTTTCCCTGGGAGCGTACGTATGCATCGAACGTGTCTTTCATCGAGAATTTCAATTTAGTATAATAATTTCTTAAAGATGGAACGTTCCAAATCGGCAAGTAATCGTCGCCCACGACGTACTTGTCTAAAACTTGAGGATCGAACGGGTAATACTTGACTGGACAAAATCTGAATAGTACATCCCCTTTGTACACGTATATTCTAAGAGGATCGATGGACGTGATCACGGTATACACTCCGATATCGAATTTATATCCATCTACAAGAAATGGTCGTTGTATGAATTCCTGCACAAACGATCCGTCTGCCGTGATGTTTATATCGCTCACATTTTTCACGCTAATACCCCTATGATCGTTCGATTTTTGTACGAACATCGTTTCGGGATATCCATTCGCGTAACGAAGGAACTCGTCACGTTGCTCTGGTATTTTAAACGCCGGTAACATGTAGCGGCCTTCCGTCGTTGATAAGTCTACTTTGTTCGTAATGTATCCACAGCCAGGAAAGTGATTAACTCGTTGATGAGCATTCAGTTTACTTAAATTGGAACTTAAGCTTCTGAACGGATAGTCGTGCGCCCATAGTAAGTCCCAGTTATCACCGTGATCGGTTCGTTTAAAACCCAAACGTTCCAGCACGATAAATACGTGTTTCAAATATCCGGTATCGTTACCTTTCGCGTATATCCGGTACGACAGACTCTTCTCCTTAATTTCGAACTTCTTCGCTTGCGCTTTTATTAAGTCCTCTTGGTAACGCAGGAAGGAAAAAAATAAGCAGTATAAAATAATCGGGCCTACTATAGAATACAAGAAAACTTTCAGAAGTGTCTTCACTTTCATGCTCATCATTTGATTACAGACCGTGACATCCTGTAGCAATAAAACTATATAAAATAATAATACTTTAAACTGGATGGACGTTGCTTTGCAGAAGGCAAATGATTCATTAAAAGCTGGCGAAGTTCCAGTTGGCTGTTTGTTTGTGTATAATGATAAAGTCATTGCTACGGGCAATAATAGTGTTAACGAAACGCATAATGCGACTCGTCACGCAGAAATAAATTGCATAGACCAAGTTTTAGAATATTGCAGGCAAATAAATTTAGATTATAAAGAAGTTTTTCGAGGTATCGATGTAATTGTTACTGTCGAACCGTGCATAATGTGTACATCTGCTTTATATCAACTACAAGTCCGCAGTATCATATACGGATGTGCAAACGACCGTTTTGGTGGATGTGTCAGTGTTTTCCAAGTACCAAAACTCTATGAATCAAAAACGACAATTACGGGAGGCGTGAAAGGCGATGAAGCAATGGCTTTATTAAAACAGTTTTACACAGGTACAAATCCGAACGCACCGGAAATGAAGGTGAAAAAGAATCGCAAGAAAAAAGAGACACAATAATTAAAAATATAAGGACTTTATTTATTTTTTACGTGACTACACTGGTAAACATCAGTTTTTTTAATTTTTATTTTAATTTAATTTAAATGATATAGCGTATGAATGACGAATAGTATGTGAAAAGACTGAGTAAATGTTTAAAATTTGT